CGCCGCCCGTCGTTTCTCGATGGGGGCCGCTCAGAAATCTTGGCGGAACTAACGCGAAGGCTTCCCGCGAGGGATCGTTTGCCTCCGGCCGAGGAGGGGCGTGGGAAAGAGTTCACTACGGACTACCGCAAGAACCACATGGACGCGGTGGTGTATTTTTTGGGCGCTGCAGGAGCCGGAGAGCGTCGGGAAGCACGAGGGCATCGCCATCGGGGAAGAGATCACTGAAGCTGCGTTCCAAGCCTACGACGCCCACGCGCACTCTGATTTGTTCTGCCACCCCAAGGAAGATAGCATTACCGCGTCGGTTGATCTGGGTTTCCAAATGACTCCCTTTGAAGGGGATTTCATTTGGCTTCCTTCTGCATGTACGGATTTCTGTCTGCATCAAAAGATGTTTGCGGCGTCGGAAGACGATTTTCCATTTGGCCGCCTGCGGCCGCCTCGCGCGCCGGGCGGGCCCGGCGAGGTTCCGCCACGCTGCTGCCACGCGGCCGCCTCGCGCGCTGGGCGGGCCCGGCGAAGTTTCGCCACGTTGCCCCCCGCGCAGGCCGCCTCGAGGCCGCCTCGTGCGTTGGGTGGGTCTGGCGAGGTTTCGTCGCGTTGCCGCCCGCGGCCGCCTCGTGGCTGCCTCGTGCGATGGATGGGTCTGGCGAGGTTTCGCCGCGTTGCCGCCTCATGGCCGCCCCGCGCGTTGGGTCGTGCGCTGGGTGGGTCCGGCGACGTTTTGCCGCGTTGCTGCCCTCGGCCGCCCCGCGCCGCCTCGCGCGCCGGGCGCGTCCGAAGATGATGTCCAGGCCGCTCTGGCCGAGACTGACGGCGTGGACCTCGTGGAGGATGAGGCCGAGAAGGTGGCCCCACGGCTGCAGCAGAAGGATGGGCCACGGCAGCAGAACAAGGACATCAAGAAAGCCGCCCGCGAGGACAGGCAGCACATCGGCGCCGAGCCGAAGAGCGCCGAGCGGGGCGCACGCGGACGGCGCTTGCACTGATGATCAGCGCATACGGCGCATACGATATATTCCTTCTACCTATCAAATTACAAGGAAAAACCCGGCATGTCACCGACACCCCCCCCCACATAGACCCCAGATGAACCCCACAGGCCCCCAAGAGAGCCCCACAATGCTTCGAGGCGGCCCAAAATGCCCCGAAGAGAGCGACACGAGGCCTACATCGGGAGCCCAAGACAGCAGAAGGCACTTCCCAGACGTCCTCTGCAAGGCCCAAGAGGCCTCAAGACGGCCCCAGAGTGCTCCAACAGGACCAAACATGGGCTCAAGACGGCCCAGGATGCCCCCGCAAAGACCTCCAATACGGCCTCAGCAGGCCAAAAACCTTAATTTTCCGTTGGTTTTTGAACGACTCTGCGCTTCTCGCCTTTTCTGGCCACGAACGGCCCAAGAATGGTCTGCGAGCTTCGAGGTCGCCCCGAAATGGCCTCCAGGCGGCCCAATGGGGCCCCAAGATGGGCCAATAAAGCGCCAAGAAAGGCAGGGAGCGCCCAAAAGACCCCTAAAAGACCTCCAAGAGGGCCCCAACAGAGCCACGGGATGCTTCAGAGAGGGCCCGAGAGAGCCCCAACACGGCCCCAGGACGGCCCAAGCCCCCCCAGACAGCCCACGAGGGCCCCAGGACAGCCCAAGAAGGCCCTCCGATGGTATACAAAAGCGCCAACAGGAGCTCCACTCAGTCTTAGAGCTGACAAATTCATTACATTCTGATTGACCTGAGCCGTCGTCCTTGGCTCGGCTGGCCGCGCGCCGAATGGGCCCGCGTGGCAGAGAAGGAAAAGGAGCAGGAGGCGGGACGGAGGAGAAAAAGGAGGAAGAGGAAGGAACGGTGAGGATAGCGAGAAACAGGAGGGGCCCCAGGAAGACGGAAGGAGGGCAAGGAGGAGCAGGAGGAGGGGAGGGCAAACGGCGGAAACAGAAGACAGCTTTCACTGGGCCCCGTGCTCTCGCCGAGGCGCCGGCCACATCTCTCATTCAATATCGTGTTGCCGCTTCGCTCGCGGGACTCCCTGCCTCTACCAGGTCAGCATCCCGTCCTCCAGCATGCGGCCGCCGACTTTCCTCTCAATTCTTGACGCTTCGCGTATACCCACCTTGAGTCTGAGTTAGTCGCTCACGCTCGCCCTCTCCTCCTCTCTTGCCACCTGTGTCGCTTGTGGTTTGGCTGGAGCTTGGCGCCGAAACGGCGACTTCTCCCCGCCGTCCCGCCGCCGGTCGCCGCGCCTTGGCGTCCCCACCCGCTGGGATGTCTGTGCCGGTCTCCTGGCGCTTAATGTGGGTCATTTTGTCCCTTGCATGTGCATACGCCTCTGCGGCCAATTATCTTCGTTCCGCGCCCCGAACGCTACCCCGCTTCTTGACCTTCGCCAGGGAGCCGCCAACCAAACAAAGTATCCTCACCTTGATCACCTGGTCGCGCTGTACGCGTCCTCGCTTGTGGCTGGCTGGAGCTTGGCGCCTAAAGGGCGACTTCTCCCCGCCGTCCCGCCACCGGTCGCCGCGCCTTGGCGTCCCCACCCGCCGGGATGTCTGCGCCAGTCTTTGGCGTCTAATGTGGGTCATTTTGTCCCTTGCATGTGCATACGCCACTGCGGCCAATTATCTTCGTTCTGCGCCCCGAACGTTGCCCCGCTTCTTGACCTTCGCCAGGGAGCCGCCGACCAAAAAAGTATCCCCACCAGCCCGTCCAGAATTGATTGCCAGCTTTCCCGAGGCCTGTTGGAGGCTATCCTGAGCCATGCTCGACTAGAGTCTGTCAGAAGCTATTCTGAGCCATGCTCGGCTATGTCGGGCCATATTCAGGCTTTCTTGAGGCCTCTTGGAGATCTGTCGGAGGCTATCTTGAGCCATGCTTGGCTATCTTGGGCCATTTCGGAGGCCATCTTGGGCTATCTAGGGCTCTCTTGGAGCAATCTTGGGCCAAGAAGGGCGGGGTGGAGAATCTTCAGGAGAGGCTGGGAGGCCTCTCGGGGCCGTCTTGGGCCCCATTGTTCAAAAAGAGCGGGGGTCCTCAATTCAGGTCCCCCCCTCGGAGGCTCTCAAACGGCGTCTTGGGGACGTGTTGGAGCGCTCTTTGGAAGCCTCTTGGGCGATCTTGGGGCCGTCTTGGGCCTTCTTGGGCCCCTCTTGGGGCTCTTTTGGGCCATATTGGGGCCATCTTGATGCCTCAGGGGCCCATCGGAAGCGAAAAGACGAGAATGCCAAACACATTGACTTTCCTTAGGCTTTTGAAGGGTTTTGGCTTCTTGGAGGGCGCCGTGGAGGGCTCGAAGGGCACTTGGATCCGTCTTGAGGACTCTTGGAGGTGTGTCGGAGGCTATATTGACCCATCTTGAGGTATCTTGGGCCATCTTGGAGGCCATCTTGCGACTTGGAGCGGAGCCATCTTGAGCCGTCTTGGACGCTCTAACGCCTCCATCCCCCCCCCTCCAGGTCCAGGGGAAGGTTACCCCTCCCCCGAGCAGGGGAAGGAAGGGGAAGAGAGAAGACCAAACTCGTTATACCACCGTAGCCCTAAAGGGCTGGTGGGACTTCCACCTATAGACTTCCAGCCTCCATCAGCTCAGCACTCCGACCTCTAGCGTCCGGCATCCGACTTTCCACCTTCACCTCCATTCAAGCGTCCACCAACGCTGCGCCCTGAGCCCCGCCCCGGGCGCTACCGCGCACTCGCCTCGCCTCGCCTCCGCTCGCACAATTCCCACACACCTCATTGAACAATTGTGTTCTCGCCCGCGCCCAGAAACATCGTAGGTGCAAGGATCAAGATTAGAAGGCGAAGCGCAGCGAGCCTTAAAATCTTGTATATATATATATATATATATATATATATATATGTGGTAAGGCATGAAAAGTACATCACGGCCCGTAAAGACACCACGATTTTTAATGTGCTTGGTGCTGTCGACGACGCGTAGTTTAAGCGCGCATTGTCGGTTCCCTTCCCCGTTCCCTCCTTTCGCTCGTTTTTATATATATATATATATATATATAGATATATATTTGTCTGCATGTTTCTGCGCTGTCTTTTCGCGAGGCCATTCGCGATTATTCCAGCCCCCGGACATGTTTGCAAGAGGCGGCCATTCCCGATGTGATGTCTAAATCAGGGACTGAAAAAGGTCACTGGGGAACCAGTGTCATCAATTTGCGAAAGCGTTATTGTACATTGCCGAAACCGGGATGGCCAATTGCTAAAACCTTGCCAATGACCGGAGTCGTTTAGGAGGAGGAGGAGGAGGAGGAGGAGGAGGAGGAGGAGAGCTAAAATGCTTACAAAATTGCTAGTGGGCACACCGGTTGTGCCTGGGTCCGCGGCAATTCCCCGATCCCATCCAGAATTGATGTTACTACGCATCGTTGCATATCTATACCCGGAAGCCCCCGCCACTTGTGCTAAGTTTAGACCAGGCCCCTCGGATTCGCGGATGTATTGTTCGTGATACTTCTCTCGTGCGCAATAACATTGACGCTTCGACCAGCCCATCCATAATCAGACCGCCAGGCGAGTTGCTTGTGATCACGGCAGTGTAGAAGCATGCAGTGCAACAACGGATTTGACAGCGTTTTCTCGGAGGTCTCTTGGAGCCACCTTGGAGCTCTCCAAGGGTCCTCGCGGAACCTCGCGGGGCACTCTTGATGCCCTTTTGGGACACGATTGGGACTTTCTTGGGGCCCTCTCTTTGGGGGGGTGTAGGAGGCGTCTCAAAGAGAAGGGGGTCGCGGATTCTGGTCTTTGGGGCGCTTTTGGAGCGCTCTTGGGGCCCTTTTGGGCCCCTTTTGGGCCCCTCTTGGGGCTCCTCTGGACCGTCTTGAGGCCATCTTGCTTCTTGCATCGCGCCACCGCGCTCGCCGCCCCCGCCCGCGTTCGAGGCCCCAGAGCTCGACCATTCTCTCGCCCAGCAGGTTGAAACGTTTATAGTCGGCATAATGGGCTCAGCGCTGGTCATGGGCGGCTGATGGTTCACCCTCTGCGGGCTGGCTCTGATGGTCGCAAGTGCGATCAAGCTGGAGGCGCGTCCGTGGGTGATCATGTCCGTTGCCCAGGTGTGCACGAGCGGCCGGGGCGCCCGCTCCACGCAGGACAAGCTAGCGCTGCGTTGCCGCAGGCTCAAGTTCACGGGAAACGCCGGTCAGGATGACGACCCGGAGACCGGCGAGGCAGGGGAGGGCCATGGCAGGCGCCGCTCGCGCAGCACCCGCAATAGAGGCAAGCGCCACAAGGCCGATGCAGGCTGGGCCGCTTACGGTAAGACCACAATTCAATCCAACCAGTTCACGAAGGATGAGCTGCGCAAGGAGGGCAGCGCGACCGAGACCGACAGTATACTCACCTGGGCCACCAGAACCGCGGCAACTCAGGACGCCCCCGCGGCCATGCAATTTGTCGCGGGCGTCGGGGGCGTGAACGGGCGGGGTGGCGACAGCGCGTCGCACCCGCCCATGATTGTGCACGCGGAGAGCTGGCGCCACTGGTGGGCTCAGCAGATTGGAGTGCTTTTTGGCGGCCGCGTGCCGGCAGGGGCCATCAGCACTGAGCAGCCCATGCAGTTGGTGCCTATGACAAGGGTGAAGACAGTGGAGGTCGTGGATGGCGTAGAGCTGACTGACAGTCTGCCAGACATGTCGGACGCGCTGCCAGGTCATGACATGCTGGCACCGCCCAAGGAGTACAGGGATTACGCCCAGGCTCTGAATGCGGTCAGCAATGCACCGTCATACCAATACGTCCTTGAGTTCTACTGCCCGTTCCTGGGAGAGAAGCCACACAACACTTGGGACGTGACCATGTATATAAAGCTGCGACTGAGGGCCATCAACGCACTCTGGACATCCATTTACGGCGTCGCAACCAGGCTGGGCGTGCCGCCCGGCTTCGTGCGCCACCCGAACACACCACAGGTCTTGCCAGCAGTAGTTCTGCATTGGCGCGGTCGTGATGCAGTTGCTGGCGGCGCGAACGCGCGGTGGGAAGCCAACGCACAGACCCTCGCCCAGGGCGGAGACGCAGCGCGGCTTTGCGGCGCGAGCATGTCGGTCACGGAGATGCGGGCGGCAGCCGAGGGGTTCCACCCCTATCCCGGACGCGTGCCATTCTGGACGGACCCGACTACGGGCTCTGACTTCTCGTGGCCGGCGAACCACGTTATGATGGACGGGACATATAACGCGGCTGTCTTCGCGCCGCAGATCGGCAAGGGTGCGGGGCCAGTTCCAATCGGCGGCGTGATTGGTTGGCCCAACCTAGCGCCAACGCCGGGTTGGAGCACGTACGTCTCGGCGCTTTACAAGCTCGCGGTGACCCGTTGCAGCGCGATCGTCGCAACAATAGCCTTCGTGCCGGCATCGGTGCCGCGGGTAGGCTTGTGCGCATATTCGACCGCGGCTCATCAGGCAGCTGGAGGGCTGGTTTTCCGCTGGTTCTGGTTACCAGGAATGGGCAAGTTTGCGACTGCCCAAGCCCTCGGGCGCGGACTGCCTCGAGCGCGCCGTCGCGTGGGCCGAAGGCAAGGCCACCTACAGGTATAACGCGTTCGCTGGGCTGGCAGGTGACCTAATTGCGTGCTACACACTTGTGATTGATTTCCAGTTTCATTATGCGTCGTGCGTGCTCAAGTTCACGGCTGGCTTGGTCGACCGCGTGCTGAGCGCTGCGCCGAGGAGCAGAGTTGAGGAAAATCTGCAACAGCTCTATGTCGGGACGGCAGACAGGTCTGTGGGCGTCACGCAGCCATGGCACACTTCCATGGCCCCCACATTGCAACTATTGTCGGGCGGAGCGTCAGTCAGCGCCTCGGCGTTGCGCCGGCCCTCGCAGGCCGTCGCGGACCTGCCGCCGACCCCGGGGCCCGGCGTTGATGAATGGAGTGCCTGCTCGGTGGGCGGGGAAGGTTTCTCAACGCTTAATTTCGCCAGGACGGCCTCCTTGTGGAGCAAGAGCCCGCCCACGGTCTGCATTCCTTGGTATAAAGGAACGAAGGCGTGCTACAGTTCGACTGCGAACAAGTATCATGCGGGTGGTGAGATCGGCGAGATATATCAACCCATCGAGGAGGAGGACAAGGTCGACGTCAAGGCGACCACTCAGCTGATGGCGTACAAATAGACGTGTGAATGCATTTTGTATATATCTGTCTCTGTTTCTTTCTCCTCCTCCTCCTCCTCCCCTTGCGCCGGCAGGTTGATTCAGTAATTTTGGCGCGGCTGAGTAAGCGCAGACACCTCCCTTGACCCAGGCAAAGGCCCCCGGGGTCGCTATGAGCTCGACGCAGTGTCATGGCAGGAACAGCACAATTCCTTTCACGCGCCCGGTAGGGCCAGCGGCAGTGCGAAAGAAAGAAAAGAGGCCATCTTGCCTCAAGAACCATCGGAAGCGAAAAGGCGAGAAGGCAAAACACAACGATGTTCCTTTTCTGGGGTTTTGAAGGATTTGGGCCTCTTGGGGGGGTCCTTGGAGGTCTCCGAGAATTCGGAGGGCACTTGAACCGTTTGGGGACCGTCTTGTGGCCCTTTTGGATGTGTGTCGGAGGCTATATTGAATCATCTTGAGGTATCTTGAACCATCTTGCAGGCATCCGTACCCCGTTGGACTCGCAGGACCTCGGGGTACCAGAACCCGGGTTTCAATAATTGAACACTTGTTTCACTAAATGTAAACATTGGTTTCAATAAATACGACCACATTGGTTTCCATAACTATTTCCATTGGTTTTATTCATATGGGCATTCGTCTCAATAAGTGCTAATTTTAATTTCAGTATTACGAACACTGGTTTCAGTAATTACGACAGTGGATTCTAGAATTGCGACATCTAGTTTTCAATATATAGATACATTGGTTTCAATACCCCTCGGCAGTTAGCTAAAATGATTTGCTTGTTTGGTTGGTTGTTTGTCGTTTGTTGTTCCCGGGCATGTTTCCCGGTGTGCTGGCACCCTGTCTTCTTTGCGGGTTCCCGGTATTGATTCTTAGCTTTCCCGTGCATGCTGTCTTTCCGGGCGTTTTCTGTGATCCCGCTTCGGCCCATGCTCGAGTTGTGCGGTTGGCTTCTTCCTCTCCTTCCCTCAGCTCGTCTTCTTTTTCGCTCCCCTTCTCCTCTTCCTTCGTTTTTTCCTCCTCCTCCTCCTCCTCGCCCTTGTCCTCCACTCTGCATCACAGCTTTATCGCCTTGTGTGCGCCTGCACGCGAGGGCGGCCAGGCGCGGCCCTCAGAGGTTTATTTCTTCTTCGGTTTGGGCCGCGGCTCGCCGGCCAGCAGAGGTAGAAACAGCTCCATCCAGTTCCTACATGATGCTGGATTGTTTGATCGGTTTGTGCCACCTTGGGTCACGGTTTGTGACATGGCACGGGAAACGAAGACGACTTGCGAGAACCAGCCCACCACAGATCAATGGCACCGGACACTCGGGAGATCTATGAGACAATAATATGGTAAATTGCGGGAGTTGTGAGTTTCCTTATTCCCGGTTTTCGAGACCACACGGGATAAGACAAATGTTAAAGATAAGATTATGATATTTGTTCGGGTTTGTTTTGTTCGATGTTGCCCCCTCGCCCCAAAGCAAGTTGTTCCAGCGATTACATTGAATTGTTTGCCGCGGCAGAAATCGGCTCAATAATTCCACGACTAAGAATCACGTTTTCTCAATATACGATTCCTGACACCAGCCGATTAATCTTTTTTAGTATGTGACGGGATACCGTCTTGCGACCAAAAGGTGCAGTATTGTTCAGAATGTGTTAGAAAGCGGCGCGTGCGGTTCGAAGGCATGTTGTTTTTATTGTTATTTTGTCACATGATTATTTCGGTTTGTTCCCCGTATCAGGTTATTGTACACCAGATTTAAGCGCGACGATTCCGAATCCGACGAAAGTTCGAGGGCCTAATCCAAAATATGGTTTACTTTGTTGGGGGATTTCGATGCACAAACCTCGGTCATTTCCATTCCAGAGTCGTATGCATATCTGGATCACAGATGACTAAGAAACATGTTGCCTAAGTATCATGAATCACGTGCGCCATCATTTTCCATGGCTGTTCTTCAATGCCAACCCCGGGTTTGAAAAACAAATCCAATAGGTCAACAAGAATTGTGGGACATCGGATTGGGGCCCGTAGTTCTCGAAACCTATGTTTGTCTTTATTGCAACGCTCGTACTCATCGCCAATAAGGTTCGCAATGCGAAAGCCATCTATTGGAGCCAATATGTTTTCAATGTGTGAAACAAACCATACTAGTTATTAGAAGCAGTGGTCAAATACGGCAGCAAGTGTTTACATGATTGGACATTGGTTTCCATATTAAGTGCCACCACGAGTTTCCATAATTGGCACTCTGAGTTTTCATAGTTGCCACTACGGGCTTCCATAATTGTTACCATGGACTTAATTGCCACCACGGGCTTCCATACTTGCCAACACGGGTTTCCATAATTGCCACTACGGGTTTCCATAGTTGGCGCTACGGGCTTCCATAATTGCTAATACAAGATTCGATTATTGCCACCACGGGTGCCCAAACCTTCATAATTGATAGGGAGGGGAGGAAAATGGGAGGTAGGAGAATGAATAGGAGAGGACGGAAGAAGGAGAAACGAAAGGGGACGGAAGATGAAAACGGGAGGAGGAGGAAAGGAAAAGAAAGAGGCTAAAAATGAGTAAGAAAGAAGAAAATGGAGGACGGGGGCCCGGTTGGTTTCTTCTTATTCTTCTTATTCCAGGTCCCTCCTTTTTTTCTTAGCCGGGCTCCTTATTAGTTGTGTCTTATTTCCGTTCCTTCCTAATCTTCTCATTCCGTTTTTGTCCTATTCCTCCCATTCCGGTTCCCCCCAATTTTTCTTATTCCAGCTCCCCATTATTCCTATTCTGGTTCCTTCCCATTCTTCCCATTCCGGCTCCTTTCCACTCCTCCTCTTGCGGTGCTTTCCCATTCCTCCCTTTCCGGCGTTTCCCTTTGTTCTTGTCCGGGCTTCCTCTCATTCTTTCTATTGCGGGCCCATCCCACCCCTCCCATTCCAGCTAGCTCCTATTGTTCGGATCTGTTTCCGTCCCTCTTCTCCTTTTCAATTTTTTTCTCATTTTTTTCGTCCTACTCCGATTCCGGCTCGCCCCCATTTTTTAATTCTGGTTCTCTCCGGCTCTTTTACTCCAGCTCTTTCCCGCTCCATCCTTTCCGGCTTTTTCCCATTCCTCCTTTTCCCGTCTCTTCCCATTCCGGCGCTTTCCCCTATTTTTTTTCACATGTTTCTTGATTTAGGCCCTTCCCTTTTGGCTATTCCTGCTTTTCCCGATTATTCCCATTCGAGCTCCTTCCCATTCTTCCCATTTTCCCGTTCCTTCCCATCCCATTTTGGTTCCGATTCACTCTTCCGGGGTTCCTCCCATTGTCTTTATTTTGGTTTCCTCTCACTTCTCCTATCTGGTTTTTTCCCACTCTTCCGGCCGGCGCTCGTCACCATGATTATTACATCCTCAAAAAATATTGCTACGACGTGTATTACTTATTTGTCCGTCCTCTTCCAACGTGTGTTATCATATTTCTCGGGTTAGGAGAGCTACAAGGTTTGGACCGCGAATTCAACGTCTTTAGGCCATTATTAACATTCTTATTGATTTGCCCATGTCCCTTTGCTTT